CTGCTGCTGCTGCTGCTGCTGCTGCTGCTGCTGCTGCTGCTGCTGCTGCTGCTGCTGCTGCTCCGCCTCCTTCTGCCCCTGTTGCGGCTGCTGCTGCTTTTCTTGGGACTCTGCTGCTGCTGCTGCTGCTGCTGCTGCTGCTCCTGCTGCAGGCTCCCCTTGGGAGTCTTCAACAACTTCCCGCAGCAGCAGCCGCAGCAGCTTATTTCCAGCACCAGAAGCAGCAGCAGCAGCATCAGCAGCAGCAGCAGCAGCAGCAGCAGCAGCATCAGCAGCAGCAGCAGCAGAGTGTTTGTCTCTGTCTTGCAGCTCCACGAAGCGGCGCCTGATGGGGCGAAGGCGAGTCAATGCCTCCAGGGCTGCAGACACAGCATGCAGCAGCAGCAGCAGCAGCAGCAGCAACAGCAGCAGCAGCAGCAGCAGCAGCAGCAGTAGCAGTGATCTCTGTCTCTGTTTCTGTTTATTTATCTGTTTCTGTCTCTGTTTCTGTCTGTCTTTGTCTTTTTTTTTATTTATTTATTTTATTTTATTTTTTCTCTTTTTTTGTCTCCTCCTTCCTCTCTTCTTTTCTTTGTTGCTTTTATTTCTCCTGCTGTTCTAAACCCTAAACCCTAAACCCTAAACCCTAAACCCTAAACCCTAAACCCTGCCTCCTCACCTGCAATTGCTTCTGTCTGCTGCTCTCGCAGCAGCAGCACCCCTCCTCCCCCCTTCTGCTGCTGCTGCTGCTGCTGCTGCTGCTGCTGCTGTTGCTGCTGCTGCTGCTGCTGCTGCTGCTGCTGCAGCTGATATAGGGGGCAAGGGTTTATGGGGTACTGCAGCAGCAGCGGCAGCAGAAAGGGCCCCAAATGACTAACCCACTCCGCCCCCCACAGCTGCACATACACCCCAAACCCTAAACCCTAAACCCTAAACCCTAGGCCCTAAACCCTCCCAATCCAGGTAAGTAATAAAACAATAGAGCAGTATGTATTAGGGTTTAGGGTTTAGGGTTTAGGGTTTATTAGTATATGGGTGTATATAATGAAATAAAACGAAAGGGTGTTTGTTGTGTACCCCTTATTATTTTTAAGGGTTTAGGGTTTAGGGTTTAGGGTTTAGGGTTTGCTGACGGAAACAAAGAAGGGTTTGAGGGTTTCTTTGTTTTTGTTTTGTTGCTGCAAGGGTTTATAAACAAATATATACAGTGAGGTGTATATACACCCCAAACCCCCAAAACACAGCGCCACCAGCCGCCCCCAACTCAAACCACACCACCAACCCCCTGCAACACAAACCCTAAACTCTAAACCCTAAACCCTAAACCCTGAACCCTAAACCCAGCAACAAATATACTCACACACTCCTCTCATGCACCAGCAACACGCACCTGCAACATGCACCTGCTGCTCAACCGCCACCCTAGGGTTTAGGGTTTAGGGTTTAGGGTTTAGGGTTTACCTGGGGCCAATGCCTGCTGCAGCGGTGTAAGGGTTTCTTCTTCCTTAAACCCCCCCTTCTGCTTATACAAAACCCTCGGGGGCCCCTCATACATGAGGGGGCCCCCAAGCCAGAGGGGCCCCCCTCGGCTGGGGGCCCCCAAGCACACTGCAGAGAGGGTGAGGGGGCCCCATACGGTGGGGGGCCCCCTCAGCAGCAAGGGGCCCCCTTGAGGGGTACAAACGCCTCCTGCTGCTGCTGCTGTTGTTGTTGCTGCTGCTGCTGCTGCTGCTGTTGCTGCTGCTGCTGCAGGCGAAGCGCTGCGCTCGAAGCAGCCAAAGCACAGCTTCTGTACCCAAACCCTCAGCTGCTTGTGGGGGCCCCCCTGGTGGGGGGCCCCCCAGGGGGCCCCTGCAATAGAAAGGGGGCCCTTCATGGGGCCCACCTGAACGTATACCTCAGCAGCAGCAGCGGAAAGGGGGCCCCTGTTAGAGGCTGCAGCAGAGCAGCTGCTATATGCTGCTGCTGCTGCTGCTGCTCTTGGCCGTAGAGGGGCCCCCTAGGGTACGGGGGCCCCCTAGGGTATGGGGGCCCCCAAGGGTTTGAGGGGCCCCCCAAGGAAAGAGAGGCAGCAGATGCTTCACAGCAGCAGCGAGAAACGAAGACGAAATAAAATAAAAAAATAAAAACAAATAAAAAACAATTAAATATATTATTTATATATAAAAAAAAAGAGAGAAAACTCCGAGATATGTTGCAGCTGTACCCTCCTCAGGGGCCCCCCATACATAGGGGGGGCCCCCCAAGGCACCGGGGGGCCCCCCTCCCCTTGGGGGGGCCCCCAAGGGTTTAGGTGGTTTGTTTGCTTTTTTGTGTTTATCTGAAGGTTGTTTGTTTGTATATAAATAAATAAAAGGCTCCACCTTTTGTTTGTACTGCAGCGCGACTGTTCCTATGGTTTAGGGTTTAGGGTTTAGGGTTTAGGGTTTAGGGTTTAGGGTTTAGGGTTTGTTGTTGTATTGCATACTATGGCTTAAACTGTTATTTTAAAAATATATATATATATAACATTTCCGATATCATACCTAGTGTTTATGTTTTTTTAGGGTTTAGGGTTTACTAGGGTTTACTAGGGTTTACTAGGGTTTACTAGGGTTTACTAGGGTTTACTAGGGTTTACTAGGGTTTGGCGATGTCGTATGGCATGGGTGTATACGGGGATTATTTTTCTGCAGCTCGTGACGTGTTTGCTCGCACAGATAAATATTTTGCTGCTGTGGGGTTGCTGCCGCTGCTGCTGCCTCTTCCCCTTCAGGGGGAGACGGGGGCCCTCAAGAGGGGCCTCCTCCGTACCCTCATCTTCTCCTCAGCTCACATACACTCCACCATACACCAAGCTCTCTCGGCTTCTCTGCGCCGCTCTACCCACCAACCACACCCCTCACACACACACACACCACAGGGGGGCCCCCCGGGGGGCCCACAAGGGGGGACACCAGGGGGGGCACAGGGGGGGCCCCCAGGGGGGGCACAGGGGGGCCCCCCAGGGGGGCCCCCAGGGGGGGCCCCGGGGGGCACTCAGGGGGGCCCCTCAGGGGGGCCCCCGGGGGGTATACAGGGAGGGCACACAGGGGGGCCCCAACGGCGTTCTTCAGGCAGTCCTTCAGAAAGTCTTTTAGGGGGCCCCTTAGGTGGGGGCCCCTCGGTGGGCCCCTTTGGGAGCCCCCTAGGGGGCCCCCCAGGGGGCCCCCAAGGGGCCCCCCTTGACCCTGTTGATGCTGCGCTGCTGCCTGCTTATATATTGAGAGAGAAG